AGGGAGCTATTTTTTTAATGTGCTAAATTATATGGAAGCCCCAAGAATAATTAACAAGGTAAGATGAAGAAAAAGTAAGCCATCTTTACATGTAGAAACAGGTCTAAAAGGAGCATGTGAATTGTTTCTGACACATTTTCACTAGGTGAAAAAAGGGGCGAATTTTATAAAGTGCTGTGAGCTTTTTCTTCCGGCATCTTAAAAGTAAGATAACCTGTTTGCCCTCTGCTGACAGAAGACAGAGCAGAGCTGAAGCCGAGGCCGGTGACCGGGACTGCGTGAGATTCCTTAAGCCCACAAGGAGCTTCTAAAGAGAGCGTCCCTCCCCTGACTCCCAGAGGAAAGGGAGCTGCCCTGACTTTAGTTTCTCAAGTATCATGTAGTTCAAACGAAGTGAGAGGTTCTTTTGTAAAAAAAAACATAAAATTGAATTTCAGAGAGGCATCAAGTGTGTCAAGTGCTGAATCACTGTGTTTAGGGAGCACTGTTGTGGCGGCTGAGGCTGAGAGGCCCCCTGTGGACACAGCTCAGAATGGGCATTCAGACACGCCCAGGCCTGCCTCCAAATAACCAAATCTGCATTGACTCCTCAGGAAAGAAACGTTTTAGAAGACAATCCTCAGGACGAAAAATCAAGTGTCAGCAAAAATGACCTAAAGTTTGAGCAGCTGGTTCAGCTGGTAAGCCAAGGATTACCTAATACGAATTTTCCGTTTGTTTTGCTCCTGACCAAAAAAACAAAAAACAAAACAAACAATGACAAACACATCAGGCTTCATTCCGGTTAGTTCTTTTTTCTTGAAAGTTTCTCTTAGTAGGAGGGAAAAAACCTCCCAAATGTAATTGGGGGGAATCCAATCAGTAGATTTTTCTTTTGATTAAGTCCTTGTCTGAAAATAAGTTGAGCCAAGAGGATGGACAGGTGATATCGTGGGAGCAAGAGCCGTTGCTGCTACTCCATATTTTCTAATCTGACGCTAAGGTGGCATTTAAAGAAATGACACATGCACATAAAGGTTCATGGTTTCTAACTAGCCCACCAACTTACGGTGCAGCTTCAAATGTTGAATCTAATCAATATAACTTTTAGGGCTCTGTCTTTTCGTTTAGAAAGGGCAGTGCATGGAAGAGGCTGTGGTATAAGCAGAGGCCTGGTCCCATCTGCCCTAACGCACAGTATATGCATGCCGTTTTGCATTTCTTCAACTTATGTCCACATTTATTATCGTATTTCATTTGCAGAATCCTGTAAGGTAGATTTAGTAACCACCTTTTGTAGACAAGGAACTCAAGTTAGAAACTTAAGTGACTTCTCTAGGGTCAGACAAGTGTCATAAAGAAACTGGAATCTTGTGCCCTTGACCTCAGCCCCGAGGCTCTTGCCCAGCCTGCCCACACCCTGGGGGAATCTACCTACTGCAGACAGTGCAGACCGTGGATCTTGCTGGCATGGACGTCACTCACCCATGCCCAGGAATAATCAAGGAGGAGAGTATATACATAATGCAGTGAATATGATAGTATTCTATCATAATCTAACTGTGGGTAATAATACCTGCCAACAGTTTTAAGACAACAAAAGGTTTGACAACTAAAAGTTAAAAGTTGGTTAATTCCAATATTTAAAAAATACATAAATACACATAAAATATAATAAAGGCTGCAAGCCAACTGCCAACAGATCTGTTTTTTTGTTTTTTTTTTTTTAACTCATTAGATATATCTAAGTGGCATTATATACAGACCATGTATTTTAAAGACAAAAACTTAACCAAGAACAGTGTGTTTAAAGTATTTCAAACAGAGTGAGTTTTCGATTTCTTCTCTTAAATTACTTTTACATTTTAATTTTAGTTCATGAACTTCTGGTTGACTTACTTTGGGTGAAAATCACATGGCATTACGCTTTACTATGGTCATATTTTATTTGGGGCAGTCTGGGGCACACTTAGGGCTGGAGAGAAAAGAGGAAATTTTGTTCTAAGAGTAATAAATAGTTCTAGGCTTAAGTACAAGGCCATTAAATTTTAGAAATTTAAATATTTTAATTATTTTATATTGTAAAGATGCTCTTTACAACTTTGGAAGGTACAGATAAAAGAATTACCTAGTCCCAGTAATGAAAATTAATTTCTCCAAATATAAACATAGCACACATGATTTTTCTCTCTGCCTTAAGAAATAAAACAAGACTCTGAAATATAGACAACATAGAACATCTGGCAACCTAGTCACCCTGGAGAGATGGGTTCACAGTTCCCAAGTTAGGTACTTGTTCCTAAATACTGAAAAAAGGAGCATGAGTTATCATATTTCATAATATTCCCGTGGGAAGCAAGTTAATTGATAGTAAGAGGGCTAGCTCATCTCAGTCTTCTGTCTGCAGGATAATCAATAAAACACTACTGGGAAAAAGAAATAGGGAAATGAATGAGAGTGGACAAGCCAAGTGCCACCTCCCTGAAGGCAGGACTCTGTTTTCGTCATTGTACAGCCAATAACTAGCACATGACACTAAGCATGTACTCAAATGGGCAGATAGATAAACGTAGTCTCAGTCTGCCCTGCTCAAGACCCAAGATCAAAGTCCCATTTCTACTACATCACACTGGCCTGATGTGCAGGGCTATTTGGTGATACTGGGCACACGCAATGGTGAGTGGGGTCCTCCATAGTCCCCTATCAAGTTTCCCTTCAACCCTGCATGTCACAAGCCAGAAAGGGGGTCTCAGAGTGAGTGCTTGGCTACTTAATACTTCTATTTCTCCATCTCCTTCAACTTTCAGGCTTTCTGAGGCTGTTAGCCTGGAAAGTCATCATGATTTCCCCATGAGTTCTCAGTGCTTTCCTACAGGAAAGAAAGCTCCAGATGGACTCGGCTGCGAAACGAACCAGAGTTGTCAGGGAACTCTTACAGAGTGAGAGAAAATATGTGCAGATGATGGAAATTGTGAGAGATGTTTATGTAACCCCACTGAAAGCAGCACTGTCATCAAACAGAGCAATTTTGAGCACCGCAAATATCCAGATCATTTTCTCGGATATTCTGCGCATTTTAAGTCTCAACAGGTAATCACTGAATAGGTATTTTCTGAAATACTCATTATGTGGTGGGGGGAACCCACATTTATATGTTTATATGTTTCAAAAGATGTGCAAAGGCTCATTATTCTCTGCCCTTCTTGGGGACTCTGATCATCTCACAGAAGAGAAGGGATTCTTGACACTGGGCTGTGTGTGACCCATGGTGATGATTCTTAAGGGCTTATTTCCTGACTCAGTTCAAAGCCATGGTAGCAGGACTGGAGTTCAGTGACTGGGGATTCTATATTCAATATATCGATCATACAAAAGACAAAACAACAGTGTTTAGTTGAGGAATGGGAAAGGAAGGAAAGGATTTAATGGGATTAAGTCACTGGGATACTTTGTTTAGAGAACCCAAGGCTGGAGATCAGTTTAATAACAGTACATGTTTCCAGTACATAGTAGTACACAGAGAAAAGTGATTATTTGCACTGATGGTTAATTAAGACAAACTGAGCTTGTGTTTCTCTGCCAGCAACTCCCTAGATAACTTGGAACAAGTTCCTTATCCTTGGCGGGCCCTAACCCTTACAAAATGAAGAGGTTGAACTAGGCCTCTCCTAGTTTTCAAGGCCTATGATGGCTGAATGAAGGATAACCTCAGATCCACAGGGAAATGGGCCGAGGGAAGGTAATGACATTCGAAGTGATTGAGCACTCTGCTCTGAGGACTGTAAGAAACCTTCCGCTGTCTGCCTGCCTGCCTGGCCATGTGAGACTGGAGCAGTCTGGGCAGCCTGTAGAGGCCAGTCTGGGGTCCTGACTCAAGGACTTAAGGTGAATAAGTGAGATTCCACCACAGTCAACCTACTTCCTCATTTCCCAGCTTCTCCCTTCCTGCCGAATCTGTAGTTCTGTATCAAGACAAAAGTATTTGACAAAAGCCCTGCCATAAATGATTAGCTGAAACAGGCTGTACTAATGACTGCTAATTTATTTTTTAAGTTTATAGGCTATCACTGGCCAATATATCATGGTCATGCTTTTCTCCAATTACAGGCAGTTTCTAGATAACCTGAGAGACAGACTGCAGGAATGGAGCCCAGCTCACTGTGTGGGAGAAATATTCATAAAGTTTGGAAGCCAGTTGGACATCTACACCAATTTCTTCAACAATTATCCTGTTGTTCTGAAAACTATTGAGAAGGTAAATGATTCGGTTACCATGCAGACATGTATTAGAACTCGGAGGTTGAAAGAAAGTTTTGTGTGCAATCCAAAGGACTAGAATTAATACGAAAGACTTCTTCCCTACTCTTAGCTTCCAGATCTCCTCCTCCGGGTTACTGCGGACTCTTTGAGGACGGAGACTCTGACTTATTAAATTTTGTATCACTAGGGGCCAGCTCAGTGCTTGATATAGCAGGGCCCAGGAAGTGATTGTTGGACTAAACTAATCCTCATACAAATGGCCAGACTTCCATCTGCTGCAGATATCCTGTGACTCAGTTACAGGGGAATGTTAATGATTAGGTAGAAGCAAGACTGTGAACTCCGAATCCACTCTGCCACTATAGTCCTGTGTGACCTTGACACGTTCAGCTCTTAAAAAGAAAAGGAATTAATCCATATGTTTCTTGGAATAAGGATACTCAGTTTGTGAAATCTATCTTTGAATAAGGAATTTCTTTGTCTTACGTTTTGTAGAGAGTTCATTATAAACAACTTTCCCTGCTGTGACTTATGCCATGTGTAGTCTAAGCGAGAATATTTGGTTCTCTCTGAATCATTTGCTGCTCTTGTTGGGATCTCTTCTGATGACAATAAGATCCCACTTTCTTCCCTTCTCAATTTGTATCAAAAGTGCAGCAGAAGAGGCTACCTGTGACCTGGTGGCAGTGTCCACTCTGTCCCTTTTGGTTGTGTCTCCCTCTCTACACCGAGGCCCTGAAGGGAAGGCCTGAGGGCTGGGTGGCCTCTGGACAACGATTGCTGACCTCAGACCTCCCCTTTGTTGCGCTCCTCCCAGCCCACCTAGAGAGTTTGACACTGCTGGACAACTCGATTATATGAAAATTGCATGACTAAGGCAATTTCAAAGAACTGACCATGAGGACGAGAATTATAGCAAAGTGTCACATACTGTCAGAAACAAATTGGTGCCAAAATTTTTATAGTTATGGGTAATAATGATATCTGTTTCGCTAGCATAGGTTGTGCATACTCATTCTTATCTTAATATTATTGAAATCAATGAATATTTGATTTCTAGAAATTAGTATTACTGGCATCTTTTAGGCATGTACCCACTGAGAAAAATGAGGTAATTTCCTGGGTACTCTAATGGTGGTGAATGAATACATTTTAAAACAGATGTTCAATACAGTGGGGCGTCTTTATAATGTTACACATGATCAGCAGCCCTATTACAAGTAAATGCCATTAATAGTCTCTTACTATAAGAAAATAACATTTACTGTATGACAGGCACTTTGTGGACAGGATTTTTTTTCCCTCCACCATAAGAGTTAGGTATGCTATCCACGAGAAAACTGAGGCTCCAAGAAGTTAAGTAACTTGACAAGATCACATAGAATTAGGTAGAATTAGATTAGAATTCTAATTCTAATCCAAGCCTACCTGGTTGCAAAATTTTTTTTTGGTCTGTGCTGATTAAATTTAACGCATAGGGTGAGGTCTATGGTATAACAACTAATACACTATACTTCGTATATTAGTAAGCACCGATAGTACTAATACTACTTTGATTAGATGTAGATGTTGTCCTCTTGCTTTGAGTGCTTCATAGATCATGTTTGCTGGTAGAAGAGAACACTTTACAGTTATCTTATAGAGCAAAGTTTTGACAATATAATGCTCACTTTTAGTGCAAAGAAATGATACCAGCATTCCGAGCTTTCTTGAAGAGGCACGATAACACAATTGTTACCAAAATGTTGAGGTAAGTTCTGAGGGAGAGCACAGCTGGGGCACCCCGAGACAGCGCATCATTCTTTGACCTTCACAAAGAGACTGGAGTTCCCTTCTCTGTGCCTCACACAGCCTGCAGGAGCTGCTCTTGTACCCATCCCGAAGGTCTGAAGAATATATTAATCTTCTCTACGCTCTGAGACTTCATACTCCTGCAGAACATGTTGACCGTGGGGACTTGACCACTGCAATTGACCAAATCAAAAAACATAAAGGTTATCTAGATCAGGTTGGTTGCTGATAAGAGTCTGTGTCCTTTAGAAATGCTTTTGTGGTACTCGAACTCAAAGATCTTGAAATACCTTATCCTCTTGTGGTGTTTTTCAAAGTCTTTCAGCCTTTTAATATGAAATTATTGTGTTCAGACTTTGAGCACCAATGGCATCTACTCTAAGCCAAACCAGATGAGATAGAATGTTTCCAGATAACTGTACAAGTACAATAAAACCTTTCTTAATATGAAAATTTGGGGAATGGGGTATTCGGATTGGGTTTTCTAGATAACTAAAAGAAAATAAGTAAAATCTTTTGTTTCTGAAAGTACTTCTTAATGTATTAGATTTATTGCCTAAGTACTATGATTAAAATTATTCTCTGAAAGAGCTTAGCATCTTGGACTACAGTACTCATTCTGAAAATATCATTGTGATGTGCATACTGCACATGTGTCCAGGCTTAATGTAAACCGATAACATTTGCTCAGAGATTCTTTTTGAATAGTCTTATCACTTGTCTCTTTGTTTTAAAACATTGGGTACATGAAATTGAGATTCTTATTATAGTTTTTGAAAACACCAAGGCCTATTTCAAGTGCCATAAAATATTTAAATCTATTTTTATGTATAAAAATTTCACAATTTTATTTTGCCTCAAATCACTTTGTTTTCTAGATGAAGCAAAACATCAGCATGAGAGATCAGCTGTCAGACATACAGAGAACCATCTGGGGGTGCCCTGTATGTATTCTGATGTACTTGCTACATGTCGTGCTCATGAATAAAATCTCATATCATTGGCAAAAGGAGACACACAGATTTCAAATCAACTAACATCTGTTGAATGCCCGCTGTGTGCCTGGTGCTGACAAGCTCTCACGTTTTACATCCTTCTTATCTGCAAGGATGCTGCTATATAAGGAGAGGCACAAGTGGGCTTGACCCTATCCCATAATGTTTCTGTAGTCTTAGCTCCTTGTTTGGTACTAACTGATCATGACTCCCTTTAAAGAAAGGGGCCGTGTCTTCTATTGTTTCATATCTCCCTGTGCATGATACCTGGTATAGGATTTTGCAGAGGATACCTGAAAAAATCTTTAGATGTTCTCTGTTGGCTATCTGTCACCTACAGAACATAATCTAGTTTCATCCTACCTTCTCTCTTACTGCCTTGCAAACCACACAGATCTACTCGCAATTCTCCAGTAATGTTAGCCTCTCCTCACATATTTGTGCTTTGTCCAACCATCATCTTCCTTGTAGTTTCCCCCAACATCTTCAGCTGCGAGCTCCCCCTGCCTTGGTATTCTGCAGCACCCCAAACATCTGTCACATTTTATTGGAATCCTTTATTCACAAGACTGGGAATTCTATCAGGTATAAGCTGTGATTTACCTGTCTTCTAGAGTTTGGCATATAATAGGAACGCAATATGTAAATTACATTGAAATGAAGTATCAATTGATTGAAGATGTTATTTTTATTTGGTTAAACTGGAGAAGCAAGGGAAAGGGGAGTCGACTGGATTACAGAGTCCAAAATCTTGAAATTTAGTCTCTGGATCCCTATTCATGTGAAGTGATCATCTCCATGGCTACATCAGTACAGGGCCTAACTTAATTTGTAACAATTCATTCACTTATTTTTCTTAATAGATTGCTTCTTACTCAACCCACTTCCACTTTATTTTTGACACTAGGAAAACGTTAATAAATAAAACAATTTTAGTAGTTTAAAAAATAGACAACACCCTAAAATATAATTTTCATTATCAATTCTGTGGTCTTTCCAAAGAAAGCCTATTTTATAAACAATAAAAACATTTGCTTTTTCATAATTGAACTGAGTTCTAATCAACACATATATTCTGGGTTACAAAATGGTTCTAAATGGTTTATGTTTTCTAAAAATTTACATGTTTCTATTTTTTTTTTTATTTCATAGACTCTATCAGAAGTAAACAGATATCTGATTAGGGTCCAAGATGTAGCCCAGCTTCATTGCTGTGATGAGGAAATAAGTTTCTCTTTAAGGTAAACATTTAACTATCCTATGGATGTGACTGTGTCTCACTCATCTTGAACTCACAATCCAGTACAATGTCTGACATATTGTAAGTTTGCAATAAATCCGTGTATTGAACTGAAAAATTACACGCCCCCACTTCCCAAGATAAGATGCTTTATCACCTTTCTTCCACTCTAGGCAGCTATTGGGTAGAATGGGAAAAACTAAAATGTCTCTGCCAGAGCCACAAACTCCATAGAAGCAGAAATTCTAAAGGTTGGTCACTTTCCACCTGAGAGGAGATCCAAGTGTTGTGGGATATCACACGAATGATCTGCTCTTCTATAAGAGAAGACTAACTTATTATTCTCAGATAGTTATTGAGGTCAGTATTTAAAAGGTCTCATCATAAGACCATCATTATATTGAGGTCTCACTATCTAGTTTGTACAGTGCTCACAGCAGTGTAAGAACAAAAGATGGTGGGTGTGCCAAGTTCCATAAACAAGTTCCATCTCCTTTAGAACAAGGACGGGCAAATGTTTTCCATAAAGGATCAGACAGTAAACATTCTAGGTCTTGCTAAACAAATCATCGCTGTGGCAACTACCTAACTTTGCAAATGCAGCACAAAAGCAGATATATAACTAATACAATACACAACAAATAATACAATCTTTATAAACAATACAATGCATAAATGAATATGTATAGCTGTGTTCCAATACAACTTTATTTACAAAATAAAGTGGTGGAGCCAGTTTGCTGATCTCCACTTTAGGAAATTGTTTGCCAAGCTGTTCTCATTATTAATGCAAAGATGATGATTCAACAAATAGCAACCAAATAGAGAGAAACTAATTCTAATTTGTCCAACTCCAATAAAAGAAATAAAAATTGGTTTGTCTGTTACTTCAATAAATATTTCAGTGACACAGGGCAGGGTGTGGGGTAGTTGAAAGAAATCAGGTCTCTCACTGCTACGCCCACCTAGAATTAATTTTAAATAAAAACCGAATAACACAATTGTGTCACTTTTCTCATTGCCACAGTGTTTGTTTTCTTTTGTTTTGGTTAGTAGCAATAGAAAAAGAGCTACAATGATGGAAGGAAACTACCTACCAAATCACCAATTCTAAACAGGCCCGTCACAGTGGGACACATGCTAGAGATTGCTACAATTTTTGATTATTAGATTTTTACCTTCAGGTTTTTTTTTTATTATTAGAATTTATCCTTTGTGGATTCATTCTTAAACACTTTCTTTCTTTGTGTAAATCCGAATTTCTGACCTATATAATTTTCCTTCTCATTGAAGAAATTCTAACATTTCTTGCTAGGTAAGCCTACTGAAAATGAATTCCTTCAATTTCTATTTGTGTGAGGAAGTCTATTTCTCCTTCACTTTTGAAGGATAATTTTGCTGGCTACAGAATTCTAGGTTGGCAGGCTTTTTCTTTCAATACTTATTTCACTCCACTCTTGCTTGCATTGTTTCAGAAGAGAAGTCCAGTGTAATTCTTATTCTTGTTCTACAGGTGAAGCCTTTTTTTTTAATCTCTGGGTTAAGATTTTGTCTTTGTATTTGATTTTCTGCAGTTTAAATGTGATATGCTTTCCCAGTTTTGCCTCTCACTCCTTAATCTACCACCAATGGATGTCATGAAACTTTCTTCACGCTCTCTCCTTTGATTCTAAATACATAAAAAGAACTGAAAAACTGCCATTTTCCAGAGCATTTTTTCCATGCTTTGAGATCTTGTTTCCAGGCATGTCCTCAAAATTTGGCTGAAATAAATTCTTATGATTCTTCTACGGGTTTGGATGTTCTTTCTTCAGCACTTTATCTGATATTCCTATTAGACATATGTGACACCTTTTGTAATTGACTCACATTTGAGTGTTCTTTTCTTTTCTTTTTCTTTTTCTTTTCAGTTTGTTAAGTTTCTTTTGACATATCTTCAGGCTCGCTGATTCTCTCCTTGGCTATGTACAATCTGATGATGACCTCTCTCAAAGGCATTATTCATCTGTTTTAGTGTTTCTGATTTCTGGAATTTCTCTTTATTCTTTCTATCTCTGTATTTATATTACCCACCTGTTCTTGCAGGCTGTCCACTTTTTCCATTAAAGTCTTTAACTTATTTATCATACTTATTTTAAATTCCTGGTGAGATAACTACAAAATCTCTACCATATCCATGTCTGGCTTTGAGGCTTGTCCTGTCTTAGCAGACTGTTATCTTGATTCTTAGCATGCCTTGTAGTTTTTTGTTTAAAGTCAGAAATGATGTATTGGGTAAAAGGAACTGAGGTAAGTATGTCTTTAGCGTAGGGTTTTATGTTTACCTGGCTAGATGTTAGCCTGTATTATACTGTTCATTTTAGCTATGGCATCAGAGGCTTCTGTTTCTCTGGTGTCCTAGTTTTTGTCTCCCGTGTTGTCACTGGGTTTTCTAGAGATCCCTTAAATAGGGTCTGAGCCTTGCAATTCTTTTCAGCTGTAATCCCTTGTCACTATAAGGAATCTTGTTGATGTGACAGTAAGACATGATGGGAGAGGTAAGAGTTCTACAGCCCTATGACTTGGTCTCAGTTTTTTTGTGACCCTGTGCCCCTGGCCTATGACCTTCTCGAATGCTTCTCATTTTTTGTTTTTCACCTCTAAGACAAGACAGGAGGGCTAGAGGGATCTGGAGCTGGGTATTTCCCTTCATGTTGTCTAAGTTCTGGTAAATGGTTTCCTTTGAGGGCAGGCTGTTTTTAGGAATAGAACTCTCTGGACATATTTCAGAATGGTTACTTTTCCCCTACCTATAGGAAAGAATGAGAATTTTTCTTAGATCTTCACAGTAAGAACCTGATGGGCCTCCTGGAAGTAAAACTCATGCAAGTAGGAAGGGGATCCCTCTAAGGCTAAGCCTCCAGAGCTTTTAATTGCTTAACTAGCTCACAGTCTCTAGCAATTAGTCAATTACCCTTTAAATATTCTTACCTGATGCTGGCTCCAGTGCAGTTTCTGCTTCCAGTAAACTGTGATTCTCTGTCCACCTGTCTCTCCAGCTTTTAGGGTAGTGGTCTATCTGGTGACCTTGATTTTCTGCTGGATCTGAGGACTTAGAATAACTTTACTTACTTGTGGCCTAAATTTTTTTTTGCAGCTCGAGTTCTGAAGCTGCTTGCAGAGCATAACTTTGCCATTTTGCAGAGCCAGCAGACTCCCTTCCCCCACGCTGATTGCACTATTTGATAAATTATACTCCTTGCATCATTGTTAAATAATACTGCCTGTACTATAACTGTGATCCAAAACAGCCTTTTTGTTCTACAGGCCTGGGCTGACAGTAGGACTTGATAAATGTTTAATCATATATTACCCATTGTTCCCACTTCAAGACTCCACTTGCTTGATCAGAGTCAGCCAACCATTGAAAGTCTAGTTGCCCCCACCAATCAGAAAACAAGTGATGTAGGTTTATGATCTTGTTTCCCCTAGCAACCCACCTCTTTGATCATCAGCTCCTTACAACTTTTGCCTTTATAAACCCTAATCTATCCCCTCCATTTTGGAATGTATTCTCAGTTCATGCCAAGGACTATGTTACCTGATTTTCATATCATTACCTGAATAAACAAACTCTTTAAAAAATTTCTTTAAAAAGGTATCTCCAGATTTTTGTTTACAGATCTAAGGAGAGTTATTGATTCTGAGTTTTTTAGCTTTTTTTGTCGAGAGGATGGAAGTGATGACTTACTTCCAAGCTCTTTACATGTCCAACCAGAATCTAGAAATCGCAATTACTAGGATTTACACATCTGTCTTCCGTGTTTTAACAACACGGAGCACATTTTAGAATTTGAGGATAATGTGAGAATACTAATTATTTACACTCTAATTATGAGGTGTTTATATATAAATAGGTACCATATCAGTGATTTACCAAGAATAAATATAAACAATTTTACATTAGTATTTGAAATTAAGTAAATACAAAACCGGTTTATATTCCAAAAGGTATCACCATATGTAGCCTGCAACCTTGATTTCTGTCATTTTAGAAAATAACACAAAATCCAAGAAATGCCATTCCCATGATTTTCATTAGAGATTTCTACTTAGAGGAAACTCTGCTTATATTTATACATACAATATCGACTCACATGAGTATAAGGCTTTATAGTTTACCACATTTTAACTTCTCTCATTTGATATAATGTTTAGAGTCATTTGAGGAAGGGAAGACTGCAGCCATGTCACAGATGGGGAATCTGCACTTAAGTTGTCTAAGGTCACAGAACAAGTGCTGGTCTAGAATTATTCAAAACCAGATTTCAGTGCTCTAACTACTGATTAGACCAGCAGGTGTGACTAAGCTTGCTGATTTTTAGTATGCTTTTTTCCCTTCCAATGGGGGTCCCCAAAGGTACTAAAGTGGAGCCCTCTAGGGTTGGTGAACAGAGCTTTGAATCACCAAATGGAGCCATCCACTTCTCAGACCCAGAGTCCTCTTGAGGAAAAAAACCCTACCATAATGCCACAAATGCACAGTTAACTTTCCTTTTAGCTTTATCCAAAGGGACCTACAATCATTTACCACAGCAACTACGCTTTGGAAAATGGGAAAAACCCAGACTTCTCAGGGATGCTGGACTCCAGCTCTGAATTGACTCTTATCCTGGGAAACCCAAAAGCCACTATGATCTACCAGTCAGAGTGTGGATGATGACGGCCAGAGTTTTGGCTCATGTTAGTTCACAGAACCAGTGGTCTACTGTTGTGTATTCATGCCAAAGGTTAGGTTCTAAAAGTTCTTTTTAAAGTTTTATGTATCTATAGAAGTTAGGTACTTCATCTCTCTGACTGGCTGATGCAATAGGTAAGCAACTAAAAACTCTTCTAGAATGGCATTAAGAATTTAAACTATAGCAGACTTGTTCCATTTTGCTGAATAGTATGGACTGATGTCATTTTAGCATTTATTAAAACTGTGTGGATTCCTCTGAACAAGCCAGTAAATTGACCCCCTTTCTTAGGGTAACTAAGGGTTGCTTGATGCTTCTAAGGGAAAATAATTCTTTTAGTTATTTTCCATCAAAACATAGAGCTTGCTTCACTTAGCCACTCCGGGTGGGTTGGGGCTCCCCCGAGTTCCTCCATAGCACGCAACTTGATGCTCTTGTTTACTCACACAACATAAACCCATACTAGAGTGCAATGAAACCACCAAACACCCTGACCTGGCTCCGACGACAGACAACAAAGTGGATAATAGATGGAGATTGAGGATACCACATTTTGCCTATTGGTAAATATGCCTACGTTTGATCATGATAGCAACTTCGGTGAGAATGAAGTACTACTTAATTCTAACTTTTCATACTGAAGAGGTATACTAAGTCACATGCCAATTTCCACCCAATCAAAATGAGACATTTCTATTTCCTACATAAGTTAAATGCTTTTCTATTCCTTGCTTTCTACTTAAGATACCTAGGGCCACACTGGTTCTCCTGCTTTTCTCCACCCCAACTCGTTACCCTTTAAAGATGAAACCAAAATGCTTTTTCCCCAAGATTGCTCAAATACATTAAACACAAAATACTAAACTTGACAAAAGTTAAAAAGATACAGCTTTAGCATGATTCATGTCATCAAGGAGGGAAAGTTTAATGTTAATTTTCCTCACATTGAATAAATACTGTCCAATGGGCAAGCTCAAATCACTACCCGGAACCAAGGCCCACCCCACCCACAGTATTGGTCTGAGAGACAGGTAAGGGACTACTCAATCCAGGAGGTAAACTATACCAAAAACTTCAGTGAGCCATTCAAAAGGGCTGTAGTGGAGCAAAAGTCTTGACTATTGTCTTGTAACATAAAGACAGTGAATTGTGTAACAAAGCTCACATACATGTATATGTAACCCTTCTAAAACTGTCCTTCTCCATTTTAACACAGGTTTTATGAACATACCCACGATCTCAGTCTTTTCCTCTTCAACGATGCACTGCTTGTTTCTAGTCGGGGCACCTCTCATACTCCATTTGAAAGGACTTCAAAATCAACCTACCAGTTCATTGCATCAGTGGCCCTTCATAGGTTACTCGTAGAAGATATTCCAGATTCCAAATGTATGTATTCTTTTCCTTCCAAGAGTTAAATACCTTTTGAAAGCTATATTATGTAAAGCCCATTAACTATTAAAATAGAAAAGGACTGGGATTATAATTTGCAGTTTGCAAATAATTCCCCAAATATTTTTAAGATTTCATTAAATTTTCACCTACCTGAAATAGCAAAAGAAAGGAATGCTGGCATTGTCAAACATGCACCCTGGATAGTAATAAAAGTTTTCAAAATTCATGAAGGGAGGCATGACCCCACATCATCATAAGGGATTCTTTGAAGCAGTTTGACAGGAAGAGCTGGAGTCCTTAAACACTACTCTTTACTCTGTTGATGTGATGATTTAAGATTTTTATCTATTTCCATTCTACTACGGTTAAGTATTACAGATTTGACTATATCTTTTCTTCCTTAGTTTTATATTTGAGAGTAAAGGATGTTTAGTAATAATCGTTTCATTCATAACCTCAATAGAAATATCATGTTACAAAGAAATTCCTACTTAAACCTAAATGTACTGTGCCTATTTTTAGTTATTCTTACCCTCTACTTTCTAAGGATCTATGTATCTTTCCTATATTTGTTAGGCTAGACAACTTAAATATAGCACTCTCATTCCAATATTTTTTCACTGCATATAAAGACAGGATTTAAAGTTAAAGCTGGAACCAAGACCTCAGAGAATGTATTAATCTTAAAAGGACTGCTTATAATTAGCTTCCACCCCATTTTAAATCTGGGCCTGAGAAAAAATGAACACCAAATATGTGGGAATAAATATTTCCACCTAGAAGACAGACAAAATAGGTGTTACTTATAACCGCTGGTTATGTTTAAAAAGTGTCTCCTTTCATCTCCCCTTAATCAGCTATGCCCTATGTTAAAACATCATTATGTAACCTGACAGTGGGCATTCAGCTAAGTAGATGGCTTAATTCTATCACTGGCCCTCATACCAAGGTTGTCTAGGTCTAGGTCTAGCTCTCAGCATCTCTCTTCTACAACTCTCAGTAAATACCTTTACTGATTCCAGTTCCTTCTGGAGTGGCTAAGACAAGGAATTAAAGAATATTACATTATCTATCACTTATTCTTTAAACATAATTGCTTATTACAAAGACAAGATTATTCTAGGTTATAACATTTGAATTATTCAGTAATTTTGGGGAGTTATAGACTAAACTGGAATTGTATCTGAATTTCTTTAAAAATATTTTGTATCTGTTTGAATTCATTTTCAAAATTTTTTTTAAAGATTTGGTCAATTCTTGAATTTTAAAACATTTTCTCCTTTTATTACCTGCAAATATTAATTAGTGTACCTCGAATATTTTTACAGATGTCAAGAATGCATTTATTCTTCAAGGTCCAAACCATGAATGGATTTGTGCTACAGAAGTCGAGGATGATAAGTTCCTGTGGTTGTCGGTACTCCAAAGTGCAATCAGAAGTGCTATGGAGAAGTGAGGCTAAACCACCTCTTAGTAGTTACTTTTCATGGACAGTATTTATATAGAGTTACTTGAATGACAAAACCTATGACATAACAAGGATATTATAAAGTTTTGTTTCATGATCTAATAAAAAAAATCAGAATGAAAAGTGTTTCTTAAATGATCCATCTAGAAACATTTTAATTTGTTGATTTTCCAATCATCTTTAACATTTTCATGAAATACTGATTTAAAAATGTATAAACATAAATGGCAATTTACTCAAAAACTTGTCACATATACCCTTAATATAAATGTACTCTTCCAGAGAGCATTAAAAATATAGCACTATTAAGTACTAAAAAGTTTTCTGTAATTTTTGTGTTCTTTGGTTGCAAAATTAAATTCTTAGACCATCCAAATCAGAAACTTTAAAAATTTGTGACATTGTTAAAATTAGAAAGCTGTCAGAAAAACCCTGAAACTTCCAAAAAACAAAAATAAACGGAAGTGTAGCAAAACTTGCCTGTAATGGAATTTAGATGCATAAAAATGAAGAAATTAAAACAAATCTGTTTCAAAACAGAGAAACAGCAAAATAGGTGGAGTAATTTTCTGAACCTTTAAAGCCTTCTTTTAATTATTTAACAAACTGAAGCTATAACCTGTTAGCCACTTGGAAACTTTAGCTGATATATGTAGTAATAACATTTTATTTAGTTAATGGTAGATAAAAATTACATTAATCTTGGAAGCATTCTGTTGTCAGTTTCCTTTTTGCTTCATATTCTCCTTTAAGGTAATAAAATCTATTAGTACAGTTTAGGATTGTGAACATTTTAAACATTTTCTTTTTTCAACGATGAAAATATAAATTTCTTCTAATTCTTAAAAATTTAAATTGTTAAAAACTGTACAAAACTTAAAATATTAGGCTGTTTTATTAGTGTAAAATTACTCTTTTGATTCTGTATGATATATCCATGCAGTTTTACATTTATGGTCCTATAGACAAAATAAACCATTAAAGGGAACATCTGCTGTTAGTCAGCAATGAATGAAAATTTACAAATGCGACCAAAATGGTATAAAACAAATCCTAAGACTGTATCATCCTGACTAGGACACACATCACACTCTTTGTTAATAGGAAAAACCTGTCTATGTGGGAAAGAATAAGTGACAAGATAGTTGAAGGTAAACTAAAAATCGTAAGGAATTTCCATTTATTTTGTGAATAATGTCCTCAGAAGTTTAAAACATATTACTTGAAAAATGATCTCTGTAGAGACTGATGAGTGTAAGCTTTTTGTTGAGAGTTAAGTGCATAAATCATGCAAGAAGTAGCGATGTTTGCAAGTGGATGGTATTTATGTTGTTTGAAAACTTTCCCTTCATTTTTAGGGTACAATTAAGAAAGGTCTGTCTTCACAGCTATTTCATAGCTATTTGCTGCTAAATTAAAATCTCATGCATAAAAATTTTAGGTCACTGGTGAAACTGATCAAATTTTCATAAAGAAAATATAGAATCTGACCCTCATGTTGACATGCAAAAGTCTGAAAAAGTACCACATGATGCCAGAAGAATGATGATTACTGCAGAGCTTATGGGTGAAGAATGCTCATCCAATATAGTTCTTTCAAATTAAAAATTAAATAGGAAACTAATTTTAAAGATTTTCACAAAACAAATATAGGTTTAAAAATTTTCACAAAACAAATATAGGTGCTTTATGTGAAACATTTAACCTAAAAGACAAATTGAGTTTACTTAATTTTGTCTCTTTTTACAAATTATTCCTGAGTCTGTGCTTGAGATGTATAGAGGAGCCCATTCTGTAAATCAAATCGTGTGAAGTTTTGATCACATAAGTCTAATGGACTAATGTTCTGTATTCCTGATGCTATGAAATAACATGGGTGGGTTATGTCAACAAACACAATATACCCTCCAGAAAAAGTCATCCTGACCCATTTATTGTTGAAATTAAAAAATAAAAGGTACTTAAATACAATGGTGAACATATAGGGCAAAACAGAATCATAAAATTTAATGTTGAATTAAGCAGTGAGCTGAATGTTTGGGTCTCCAAATTGGCTCGAACCCAAAACTGCTTAAAAATGGGTATGTTCACAGTTAACGGCAATTGGCTTATAGGTGAGAGAATGGTCGAAGTTGTTCCAGTTGAACTTCCAGGGAAATTCTCTCCTCAAGAACATCCTGAAAAAGATGCAAAGCCAAGTTAAGTTTCAATGTATATAAAAATGATGGCACATCTAACAGCTTTGCATCAAGAAAACAACTTAAATTTGTTAAGAAGACAAAAGGACAGCTGTTCAGATTTAAAAAGATACTTTACTTTAGAAATGTAGTTTCTTTATGTGTATGTAATATTAAAACATTTAATAACTCAAATGTTTTTCTTATTATATTAGCGTAATAAAATGTTTTGTTTAACTATTAGAAAAGCCAATATCTGCAAATGATGGATATTAATGTATGAATCTTGCACGAAGCATACTCCCTGCAGTAACTGTAGATGAGTCAATTAACATAGATTCTTTCCCTGGTGATCACATCTGGTCACAGTAACTCCTGAACCTCATTGTGAGTTTCAGTTTCATGAAAAAATTTATTTTGCAATTAGAATTTCTAATCACTGTTGATTGTGAGCAGTCTTTTCAGATAGCCAGAAAATTCTAATTTATCTTTCCTTTTTTTCCTTTTTCTCAATCATGCTTTAACCACAACTACCTCTTCCTATTGGTTACCATACTTCCTATTTTTTATTCTCAGTGATGACAAAAGTGATTTTTAAAATAGCTCCTATATCCATGTTTCTATGGTTTTCTTTAGTTCTTCAGAAAAACACACATTAAAAAAATTTTCATCTTCAGTATTATACTAAAAAGCTTTTCTTTAGTTTTATATTCGTCCTTTTCAATGGACTATATCTATAATTATAGAACAGCTACAAAGTATCTTCTTTGATCAGAGTTATACAAGAATATCATCCATTCAACAGACATTTATCAAATGCCTAATGTAATATTGTGATTTGTAAGAAACATACATTTGGTCATTCAGATGACCCAACTATACTTCTCACATATATCTGGTCTTCCTACACAGCTCCAGCTTCTAAAACCCTAAGAATTTCCCAAGGGAGGGGAGTCTTATGTTAATGAAGTGACTTTTGGAAAGCACCCAAAAATTGGGGACTGGTTGCCAAGAGAACCAACCAAGCAATCAGAGGACTGGAACTTTCAGTCCCACTCCCTACCTCAAGGAGGGGAGAAGGGCTGGAGGTTGAATCAAGACCCAATGGCCAATGATCTGATCACTCATGCCTATGTAATGAAGCTTCCCTTAAAAACCCCAAAGGACAGGATTTGGAGAGCTTCCAACTGGGGAACTGGTGTAGATGCAGGGAGAGTGATACCCTGGAGAGGGCACAGAAGCTCTGCGCCCACTTCCCACATACCTTGCCCCATACATCTGTTCCATCTGACTGTTCCTGAGTTATAACCTTTTATAAACCAGTGATGTAGTAACACATTTCTCTGACTTCTGTGAGCTTTTCTAGAAAACTACTCACACCCAAGGAGGGGGTTGTAGGAACCTGATTTACAGCAGTTGGTCAGCAGTACAGGTAACAACTTGGATTTGTGGTCGGCATTCTTAGCTGGAGGGCATCACTGGAATCTCCCATCTATAGCTGGTTGGTCAGAAGCACAGGTAAGAGCCTGGGCTTGTGTATGGCATCTGAAGTGTGTTGTGAGGGGCTCTCTTGTAGACTGAATTCTTAACCTGTGGAACCTAATGCTATCTCTGGACAGATAGTGTCAGAATTCAGTTGAATTGTGTTGGTGTCTGAGAATTGTTTGTTGGTGTGTGGGGAACACCTCCCAACGTTGGAATTGGGTCTGGGAACCCTAGAGACCTAACATGTGCTAGGTTTGGGGGACAGAGACAAAAATTTACAAGTTTCTAGGACAATTCCAATTTACTACTAATGTCCTGGTCTAAGTATTAACACATCCCCGCCTCTTTCTTCCTCAAAAGTATCTTGGTTTGGACAATAAGTTACCTGGTCACCCTAAACAGAAATTATGATTTGAGTTAGTTTAGTAGGACAGAGACTGAAGTGCCACACATAATAATTCCAGGACTGTGATAAATGCTGGATGAGGGATATGAACAAAATGTTATGGGAATGACCTAACTCTGCATTCATTTTACATTTCCACAGACTCTTTTCTCCTAATCTTTGTGATTTACAACACAGCACCCAAAGTGGGGCCAAAAGTCCAGCAGCATCTCCAACACCTGGGAGCTTATTAGAAATGCAAACTCTCGGGTTCCACTCCATACCTAATACGAATCAGGATCTGCATTTAATATGACCCCAGATTACCTGAATACACATTGTTTGAGAACCACTGGTTTATAAGACATAAATGCTTAATAACGTTGAACCGTTAATGATTCTGGCTGTTAATTTTTATTCACAGGAGTTAAAAGAAATTATGGCTAGAGAAAAATAAACCCATTCCTCTCAAGTATAGATGATAGAGGAGTACACCCTGGCGATAAACACTTCTATTTAAGGCTTATCTTTTCCACATGCAAGAAGATCTGATTCCCACCCCCCCTCCCCGTCCCTTTTCTTCTTTAGAACTGTTTAAGTCTCTTTAATAGAATCTGAGTTATCTTGATAAAAGGATAAGACAACAATACTCAAATCATCTTAGAATTAAACAGAATCTGGATAGCCATGTACGTGATCTTGGAGGTACCAATGTTTCTTCTCTTGGGTTTCATTATGAAGGCTGAGGAACATTATAGGATTAGTGATGCCCTTTATATATGTAGGGTAAGACAATCATATCAGAATTGGGTACAAAAAAATTCCTGTTAATATTAAAAGATTCAAAGGTGCATTAAACAATTTAGATACACACGTCTCTTGCTACATGGAGTTTCATACTACCGCAGGAATTGCTGGATCACTGCAAAGTCCCAGTTCAACTCTGAGGTGCTAAGTCCATGGAACTTCCCAAATATTCAGAAACTACATTACCTTTAATTGTTGCTGCAATTCACTATTCAATCTGGCCAAAACTGTGTTGGTTTCCTTATTGCGTCTAATTGATGCCTGAATAGCTTTCTTATCTTTCCCAACAGACCTGAGAAGATAAAGAGGGTGAAAAATTACCTTCATTTCTTTAAATTCTCTCCATTCTTCCCTGATCCATCTTTAAACTACAAGGCAGAGGAAGCATCTTTTGCCTTATTAGCATAGCTTAACCTCACTTGTTCAATTTCAGTGGCCAAAAGTAAGTATCTAAGCTTCAGAAGCTTACTTATAATTGTTTTAATTATTACCATTCTATACAACCACCTGAGTTTAAAGTGGTCTGGAACAGGTTATCAGCAAACTTTTCTTGTAAATGGCCAGGTAGTAAATACTTTACTCTTTGAAGGCCATATGGTTTCTGCTGCATATTCTTTTTTGTTTGTTTGTTTCTTTTCTCCTTCTCTTCTTTCTCACTCTCTTTTTTACAAAAATGTAAAAGCCACAGCTCAAGGGATTTACAAAACAGGCCATAGGCTGAATTTGGCCCATGAGCCCAAGTTTGCCAATTCTGGGTCTAGAAAGATAGTTAAAATATCAGTGTTACTCTACACTACTAATTTTTTATGTTTGCTCCCGGGTTTGCAATATTGTATTAAAATGGAACTGGAATTGAACTTAATAATAAGAAAGGGGAAAAACTGGGAATATTCTAGCAACTCGTAAATGAGAAAACTCTTAAAGAGCAACAGTAAAGAACCTTTGCTGAACTAAAGAACTAATCTAACCATAATTTCTTTCCATTTGATATTTTTAACTGCTGTGCTCTTTATTCCTAGTAATTAAATGTGTTTAGGAATTGATTTGATTACCTAGGAATAGAGGGCTGTGATGCAAGAAGAGCAGCTAAGACACCTGTCTTTTGTGTATGTTCATCGACTTCTGGCCTTAATTCATCTTCTGATTTTAATCTTCTTCGAACAGGTTTAGGTGGTGGAGCAAGAGGTGTTGTACCTTTGCTCTAGAAAACAAGAATTCCATTAATATTGAGCATTTCTTGAAGACATTCATTGTTGCTTAGCATTTTGTCAACATCATTTCTTTCATTAAGGCGCTTATTCTCCAAAAATTAAAAGTTACTTGGCCTACTTTAAAACAATTTATAATTTGAATCAACAGCTAACAAATTACAACAGGAAAGGATGTTCCTAGTTGGCATCACAATCATGAATGTACCTCACTAGACAATTTTTTAAAAAAGGTAAAATAAACATCAGTTCCTTGTGGCCTGCATCTGACTCAAGACTGTAATATTAACAGATTTAACATAATATGATACATAGTCAATATATATATCTGTTCAATAAATATAAAAGGGAACCTCCAGAAATATGCATCTATTATCGCCACAGAATTTCCTACTCAAAAATACAAGAATATATCGTCATAATGGATAAAGTAATTTATAAAGAAGTAAAAAGTTAGAGAATTCTTAAAAACCCTTCACTAAGATGCACGATAATTACAACTCTTAAAAATGAGTGGACATCTTGTTGAAAACTGTGAATCTGTCTTCAACAGAATTAAATACGGTATTTTAGTATTTACAATAACCCGATTTGACCCGTTAATAAATAAAAAGAAGACCTAACCGCCATCTTTTTGGTTAAGCGCTATTTTTAATTTGTTGCCATGAGCTGACAAAAATAAAATAGTCACAGAACTACTAATGTAGTACAAAATAAAGTTTCCAAAAAGTAGAATTTAAGCACTTTCAGAAACACATGCTATTTTAA